TCAGATCCTTCCCCCTCAGATACCTCCATTCTCGGACCCTTCCCACCTTGGACCCCTCTGTCCTCATATCCTTCCTCCTCTCCACCCCCACCCCTGCAATCCTTCCCCGTGGGATTCCTCTGCCCTCAGACCCTCACCCCTGGGATCCTTCCCTGCCCTCCGCAGTCCTTCACCCTCAGAATCTTCCACCTTCAAATGATTCCACCCTCAGTTCCTTCCACCCTAACCTCCACAAGATGCCTCCACGTTATCTGTACTTGAGTGGCGGCAGCTGGGTAGAAGCTCTGTGACTGTGGGTCCCCTGCTCCCGTGGTGCCTACCCACACCTGGAACCCACAGAGGGCCGGCCACTGCAGGGCAGGAAGAGTGGTTACTGCTGGTTCTGGCAGTTACCTGGACATTCTAGTGCTGCTGTCACAAATTACAAGCAGGTGGCTTAGAATAACAAAGTCATTCTTTCACAGCTCTGGAGGCAAGAAGTCCAAAACGAAGGTGTTTGCAGGGCCATGCTCCCTCCAGAGCCTCTAGGGGCGCTTCTTCCTCACTTCCTCCAGCATCTGGTGGCCAAGGGTTCCAGTCTCTGCTCTGTCTACACACAGCACCCTCCGGTGTCTAATTTCCCTGTTTTGTGTGTTTGTTTGTCTGAGGCGTAGTCTTGGTCTGTCGCCCAGGCTGGAGTGCAGTGGCATGATCTTGGCTCACTGCAACCTCCGCCTCTCAGGTTCAAGCTATTCTCTGCCTCAGCCTCCCAAGCAGCTGGGATTACTGGTGCCTGTCCCTACACCCGGCTAATTTTTGTATTTTTAGTAGAGACGGGGTTTCACCATCTTGGCCAGGCTGGTCTTGAACTCCTGACCTCGTGATCCACCCACCTCCACCTTCCAAAGTACTGGGGTTACAGGCATGAGCCACCTCCAATGGCCTAATTTCCCTGTTTTATTAAGGATACCAGTTTTGGATCAGGGCCCACCCTGGTTTGGGACAAGTTTGTTTTAGCTCAATTCCATCTGCCAAGAACCTGTTTCCAAGTATGATCCCATCCGCAGGCACTCTCAGATCCTAGGACCTGGACGTATTTTTCAGGGAACATCACCCAACTCACAATGTGCCCGTCATTTGTGGGTTGCAACTGTCTTCTCCTAGTCTTGGGTTCTGCTTCCATTTTTTAATTTAATTTAATTTTTTTCCGTGTCCATTTTTTGAAAGCTGTTTTGATAACCAGAAGTTCACAGTTTTAATGAAGTCGTTTTATCAATATTTCCTTTTATGGTTAGTGCCTATTGTCCTGATGAAGAAATTTTTCCCTCCCTGAGACCAGAATAATCTCCTTCATTATCTCTGAGATGCTTTATTGTTTTGCTTTTCCAGCTTAGGTTTATTCACCTGGTGTAGACTTCTCCGTGTAGTGTGAAGTAGGGATCAGGCTCACTGCCTTTGATGTGGACAGTGGTTTATTGAGAGGCAGCCATGCTGCAGATCAGTGTTCGTGTGTGCAGTGTGTCAAGTGGGGCTTTCCAGCATGCAGCAGCCCCACCCCACTCGATTCCTAACGCTGTGCAGCAAGCCAGCCCCCGGCAGATGAGACTCCTCCACTCTCTTTTCCAAGATGCTGTGTGTGTTCCTGCCCCTCGCCCCATGTAGAATGACAGGCGTGGTCGGGCACGCCTGTGGTTCCAGGCACTCGGAAGGCTGAGATGGTAGGATTGCTTAAGCCCAGGAGGCAGAGGCTGCAGTGAGCCAAGGTGGCACCATTGCACTCAGAAGAAGGAAGAGGAGGAGGAGGAGGAGGTTGTCTAGAGCAGCTGCTGGTGGAAGACTCCCTCGGTTTCATGGACAGTCCTGGCTGGGGCTCTCTCGCCTGCAGTGCTGTGGGGTCCAGAGGGGCTGTGGGGGTCAAGAAGGGACAGAAAGCGTCTGGCTGGACTTGCCAGGTTTGCCCAGAGAGGCTGGCCTGACCCCTTACAGCCCGTCCCTGGCTCTGGTGTAAGGAGCATCAGGACCAGCTCAGGGCCCTCTGGCTTCAGAGCCAGATGGCATGGGTGTCCAGGGGACAGCCTGTGGACAGTGACCTGTCTGTCTCTGGACAGGATAAGGACCACTGTCCACCATGGTGAAGCTGGGCTGCAGCTTCTCTGGGAAGCCAGGTAAAGACCCTGGGGACCAGGATGCGGCCGCCATGGACAGTGTGCCTCTGATCAGCCCCTTGGACGTCAGCCAGCTCCAGCCGCCGCTTCCTGAGCAGGTGAGGTCCTGGGCAGCATGGGGGCCCTTCTCAGGCCCCCCTGGAAACAAAGGGGTGTGGGGTGAAGTTTGTCTAGATGTGGCCTCTTCCCAGTTGCAGTAGAGCAAGCAGAGGAAGTTCCATGAGGGCCAAAACCCCAGTTGGCCAGGGGCACTCTGTGACCTCCTGGTCTGCTCCCATGTGCCGGAACGGGGCAAACTGGTGGACACATAACTGGGAAATCACGGAGTGACTCCCAGCCAGCACCCGACCCACTCCGCAGACAAGGCTTCTCACCCTTCCCCTACCTGGGTTGAGCCTGAGACAGGGGTCCTTGGGCAAGTGACCAGTGGGGGTACATAAAACAGAAACTGGGGAGAAGCAGAGCTCAGCTTGAGCCCAGCCCAGTCTGACCCCCAGGGAGTCATGCAGCATGAAGGGCACCCCAAGTTGTCCCTGCTGGAAGTAGGGCAGCATCTATGCTGGGGACCCGAGGCAGGAGGCCCACCCCTGTTGGCCAAGGGCAGATCTCCAGCACCCTGAGTTGGAGGCAGCAGCAGACTGAAGTGCTCTGTCAGCGGTCGGGCCAGGCCCAGGGCTGCCATGGCTCCAGCAGACTTTCAGCGTCCACCCTCCCTTGGCCTCACTTTGTGGCTGCTGGAGCCTTGCCGTCCACGGAGACAGCCCTGGCAGACGGTCAGCGTCAACACCACTGCCACAAAGCTGACCCTGGCTCCCTCTCCTCTCAGTTCAGTGCTCTCTTGGTTCCCTGCCAGCTGCCCAGCAAGGCCACGGCCATCTCTTTTCACAGGTGGTCATCAAGACGCAGACAGAATACCAGCTGTCCTCCTCGGACCAGCCGAAGAAGTTCCCTGACCTGGAGGGCCAGAAGCCAAACTGCAGCCACGTAGAGGAAGGGCGCAGGGTAACCACACCCACCCCCCACACTGTGGAGACTCGGGGCAGGGGGAGAAGGTGGAGGGCAGCTGGGGGTGCCTGGGCTCAGGCCAAGCCGGGCTGGGGGCCCCTTGCCCCGGCTCTCAGGGAGGAAAAGGTGGCAGTGAGTCATCCCGCCCAGAGCTGGCCTCTGGCTGCCCTGCACCCATCAGGCCCCCTCTGGAGGCTGCAGGTGCCAACGGAACGCAGAGCTCCCGAGATGTTTCTCTTCCCGGGAAGCGCCCACCTGCGTGGCTAGTCTGTTGCCCGGTGGTCATTGCCCATCTTCAGTGATTTAGGGGGTTTCTGTGTAATACTTTCTTTCTGCCGTGTGTCTGGGAAATATCTTCCTCATCCTCTGTTTTAAATCTCTCAACGTTATGATGATAGCTTCAGTCATGTTTAGTGGGCTGTTTCCAAAGCTTGTCATTCCTCAGTAGTAAGGTCTGCCCTAACCCCACCGTGTCTGCTGGAGCTCCCCGCCCCGGCTTCACCTTCCAGTGCGGCTCATGTTGCCGCACCCACTGTGGGCAGCACCCTGGGAGGCCTGGTGAGTGCAGCCTCCGACTCACTGGAGGCCACAGCCCCCATCCCCTGTGGAGCCCACACCACAGGGAAGCTGCAAATTCCCGCAGGACCCACCTGGGACAAAGGCCACATCACTTTACATGGTCGAAGATGTTTCCAGAGTCCTGGTGGAGGGGCTGCCCGCAAGGCCTGGCCCCCAGGGGTGGCGCCTGTACACTTGACTGTGCTGCTGACCCTTGGAAAAGTCACTAACTGCCTGGGGCGGGGGTGGGGCATCAAGACTGGGGGTGGTGGTGGTCCTGTGCTAACCCCAGCCCCTACCCAGCGTGGCTGAGCCCCTTCCTGTCCTCCTGCCAGCTGCCCACGGGGCGGATGATTGCCTTCACCATGGCGCTGATGGGCTGCGTGCTGATCCTGTACAAGGCCATCTGGTACGACCAGTTCAGCTGCCCCAACGGCTTCCTGACTCGGGTAAGGGGGCCTGTCTCTGGTGGGGAGTGGTGGAGCCTCCCGTCCTCCCGTGGCCTCCAGTCAGGGAACAGCAGGGCTGCTTCCTGCTGCTGGGGAACGCTGTCTCCAAATCCGCGTTCCTGTTACTTCAGAACATGAGATCCTGTCTTTTGAAAACTTGATTATTTTAATGATGACTTTCCCTAAGCCACCACTAAAGCAAAAGTCACCCTCCAGCCGTCTCTCCAGGGGGTCATCTGTCCCCGAGTGACTTGTGCAAGGTTTTATTTTTATGTAACATATTAATGCTCCTACATATTTTCTTCCTTCCTATTGTTCTCTTTGCCAATGATGGTTTCAGCTTTTAGTGTGTTTCTCGAAAGCCTTTCATTTTTCAGAAGTGAAATCTGCCTCTTTCCCTTAATTCCATGGTTTATGCGCTGGAGCGCTCCGCAGAGGTCTCGCTGGGCTGGGCAGGTCCGCTGGTGTCTGCGCCCCGCTCCCCGGGCGGCCGCCTCCCCTACAACCCGACAGCGACCCCCTGGCCCCGTGGCCCTCCAAGGCCCCGAGTTCTGAGCCTGTGGCTGACTTCGGTGTCCCGAAACGATAGCTCCATTGGAAACGGTCCGCAGTGCCCCCCGCCTTGGAGGGTCCGGGTCCAGGAGGGCTGAGCCCCGCGGCCCTGACCCGCCCCCTCCCGCAGCACAAGCTGTGCGCGCCGCTGACCCTGGAGATGTACTACGCCGAGATGGACCCGGAGCGCCACCGCAGCGTCCTGGCGGCCATCGGGGCCTACCCGCTCAGCCGCAAGCACGGCACCGAGCCGCCGGCGCCCTGGGGGGACGGCCGCCGCGCCAACAGGGAGGAGCGCAAGGGGCCCACCCAAGCTGGGGCGGCGGCGGCCACCGAAACCCCCGGGAAGCCGTCGGCGGAGGCGGAGAAGGAGGCGGCGCAGAAGGCGGCGGGGAGCGCGGCGACCCCGCCCGCGCAGTGAGGGTCCCCCGCCCGCAGCCCAGCCCGGGGTAGGTGCGCGCCGCGGGGCTCCGGTCGGCTGGGCCTGGGGCCCTTCCTGGCCTCCCGCCACCGCCTCTGAGCCCGGGACCCCGGCCACCCCTTCCCCCCTCCTCCCTCCCGGGGGCCGCCAACCCTGCCCGTGGGCTCCTCTGGGTGGGGATGCGAATCCGAGCCCGCGGGGGCCGCGGGGCGGGTCAACGGGCGCGGGGTCCGCGGGGGGCTCTCAACCCTCTCGCCCTGTCTCCGCAGCGCCCCCCGGCAGCTCCAGTGACCAGCGCGCCGCCCCCGCTCTCCGCGTGTTCGTGTCTCGCCCCAGGCGCCCTCGCTGCAGCCCCGCCCCCTTGGGTCTCTGTCGCTTTTCTCTAAGTAAAGATTTCGCGTCGTCCGCTGCCGTCCTCTGTCTCTCCTGCGCGTCCTTCTCCCACCCCCACCCGGCCAGATGTGAGTGAGGCCGGCACTGTGCTCCCCCGGGGACCCCCGAAGAGACTCCGCGCCTCCCGGAACGAGGAGCACACAGGCGGAGCGCGCGTTCCCGCGATGGGTGGTCCAGGCCTTGTCTGTGCCCCACCGGATCTGCCTTAATGGCGTGGCTCCGGCCCCCCAGGGGAGTCTGGGGCCCACTCCTACCCGCTGCCCAAGCCCTGTCCTGCGGGTTCCCGCCCCATCTACCTGGTTCTGGGCCTGGGCCTGGGCCCGGCTTGTCCTCCCTGACAGGAGTGCCTGGTTCCTGGCTGATCCCTGGTTCTGGGCGCCCATGAGCTGCTCCTGGCCCCTATATGTGTGGCCCACAGGCATAAATGATCCAGTGAAGAAAGAAAGGGGTGAATGGGGGAGTCTGAGTGGGGAGTGGGGCCTAAGGAGGGGTGCGCTGGGCTCCTGCAGGCTGGGGTCACCCGTGTCCCTGGAGCGGGATGAAAGTTGATGAGACTGAAAGGCCAGGGGAGCCTGGAGCTGCCATGAGTCACCCCTGCCCCATCCCCACCCCATCCCCAGCCCCTCCCGGCACTGAGCCCTGTAGGGAATGATTTCCAGGTAGATCTCACCCACCACCTGCACCAGCGCAGCCAGCTGCAGCTCTGCAGCCCTGCCCACACGTGTACCTGTCCTCCATCCCTTTCTGGGAGTTGGGGGCCTTGGGACAAAGGGCTTGGGGTCAGGGGCAGCAGCAGAGCCTAGGTGGCTCACAGGGCCACAGGAAGCAACTTCAGGCAGGAGGGGCCAGCAGTTCCTGCACTGTGTGGTGGAGGGTGGGGGCCTCACACACAGGTGGGATCCCCTTGGGAAGCCCACCCTGATCCCAGCATGGAGCCCAGTGACTTGGAGGACAGTCCAGGAAGGCCTCTGCAGCACCAGGGGGGAGGCCCAGAGCCAGTGCCAGAAACAGTGTCCAGGCTCCGTTTGCAAGTGGGACACAGGTTTCCGAAAGGGTCCCTTTTCACCCCCATCACCTCTGCCCCTTTTGTGCACAGGACAGGACCCTGGCTATGAACTGGCCCCACCTTGCCCCACCAGCAGTGATGCCAATGTGGATGCCTACTAGGAAGTAGGGGATGCTGAGGACCCAGGGAAGTGCCATCCCCCAGTGAGCAGGGAAAGACCCCGGCACGGCTGACCTGCTCTGGGCCTATGTCCCCTGTGCTTTCCAAAGGCAGCCGCACGGGCCAGGCCACAGTGCAGGCTCCTGCCTCATCTACCCCGAGGCCACTTTGGGGCTTTCCAGGTGGACGCCAGGCAGGTCCAGGCCAGCTGTCTCATCCTTACTAAATTCTTCCTTGGACACTCCAGTGAGTGGCCTGTAGAGGAAGTGCTTTCATGATGCAATTCCTTCAATCAACTGAGAACACCCTTATTACATCACAAAGGGGCCACCAGTCTCAGTAGAAAGAACTGATTCACACAGCAGGCACCAGGGCCCCTTGCGGTGTGGGCTTCTAAATTTGCATGGAGGAAAACTTTCTAATCACATTTCTCTGGCTGAGCTGGGCGATTAAACAGCCAAAGCTGGATTTTTTTAGAGCAACTTTGGTTTTCGAGAATAAATAATAAATATACAGGCTCGGCATGGTGGCTTATGTCTATAATCCCAGCACTTTGGGTGGCCAAGGAGGGGGGGAATCACTTGAGCCCCAGAGCTCCAGACCAGCTTGGGCAACATAGAGAAACCCATCTCTACAAAACAAAACACACAAAAACAAAAAACTAGCCGAGTGTGGTGATGCAGGCACCTGCGCTCCCAGCTACTTGGGATGCTGAGGTGGGAGGATCACTTGAGCCTGGGAGTTCAACGTTGCAAGGAGCCAAGATGGCACCACTGCCTTCTGGGACAGAGTGAGACCCTGTCTCAAAATAATAATAATAAATATTCAGTATATCTGCCTGTGTTCTAGGGTATTAATAGGCATAAAGTCATTACCGCAAACCAGTGCCGTGATTTATTCCAAAACCGAGCTAGGGGAGAGAAAGGTGAGTACCGGAGAACGTTTTTAAACCAAAAGATCCGTCCAGTTTTGGAACATGAATCCTTTTAAGGGCCAGTCTCTGTAGGGCCCGGCTCCTCCTCCTCCGAGCCTCGGGTGGGCACCCAGTCCCGTCCTCCGGGAGCGTCACAGGCCCCGCCCCCCAGGCCTCTCCCGAGTCTAGGGTCCAACGGGAGGGGCTGACACGGAACCGAACCCCAGCACAGGAGCAGTCGGAGGCCGCGGCTGTGTCCCCAGATTTTCCGCGTGCCCCCTGCCCAGACCCGCGACGCGTCCCGCGAGGCGCAGCCCCTGCCCGGAAGGACTCCGGAGATGCGGGGCCCCGAAAAGTCACCCAGGCACCGGCGGGGCCAGGACCGACGCCCGGACCGCGGTCCCACCAGGCTCCTCGGGGCGGGAGGTCGGGGCCAGCACCGGGCACCGTCGGGACCCGGACCGCGGCGCTTGGGGAGAGGGCGGCGGACGCGGGCGCCGGACACGCGCGGCCAGGGAAACCCAGGGCGCCGGGCATCAGCGGCCGCGGCGATGCCCCTTTTTCTGGGCCCCCAGGGCCGGGGCGCCGCGGAGCGGGGGGGGCAGCTCGCCCCAGGCCGCGGCCTCACTGGGCAGGAGCCCCCGGGGCTGAGTCCGCGGCGACCAGAGGCCACTGGAGGCGGAGCGCGGGCCTGGCTCGGAGGACGGGGCCGGAGGGCACCGTCGCTCGGGACTCGGGGAGTCACCGACCAGCCACGAACACGGCCAGCCCGGGGCAAAGACACAGCCCACGCGCGTCCTCGGAGTGCGGGTCCCGCAGCGGCTCCCCTCCGGAGCCAGCCCGGCTTCCCTCCGCCCCGGCCGCCCCGCCCGCCCCTGTGAGGGTACCCTTGCTGCTGGCCGAATAGTGTTTGCTTGTGCGCCAGGCTGAAGTGAACTTGTCGAGATGGAGACTTTCCTGCTGTTCTCTGTCAGAGCCGAGTCAGGACTATTGCCTGAGGAGACCCTCTTACAGGACTGGGGTCACTGAAGCCCACGGGCAGTGGGCACCTCCTTCAGCCAGGGTGTCTCCAAGTCAGATACCGGTGAGGGCTGCAGCCAGCATGGATGGATCCACCCACCCTGGGGAAGCCGGGGCCTCTGCCGCCCCTCACTGTATGGTCCTGGCACCCAGTCTTTTCCTTCAGCTGCCTCGTGCCCTGGGCATCCGGAGACACCACCTGGCCCTTGGGAGTTGTGATCTGGCAGGGAGACTGCCTGACTTTTTGAGGGCATAGGGCCACTTGGTCCAGGGATGAGAGGCGTGGACCGTGGTAACCTCTGATTGGGCCAACATGGAGAGAGCCAGACGGTGACGAACCCCAGACAGTGGCCCACGGCCAAGCCCAGCACCTCCCCTGTCTCAGCCAAAGAGAGCCGTGTTGGGCCCCTGGGTCTGGGTGACTAGAAAGCACATGGGCCCTAACCCTGCCTCAGGCTCCTAACATCAGGGTCACATCCTGGGACCCACTGGTGCCCAGGTGTGGATGTACTGGGCTGTCTGGGCCGCATGCTGGCACACGGTCAGCTCTCAGAGCCTGGCCAGCCACATGTGCCAGTCCTGCCGATGCCCGGTTGTGTGGGGGCTGCACTCTCGACCCCACCTCAGGTGCTGTGTCTCTCAACCACTAAGAGGGTGGGGCTGGGTCAGTCTTGCTTGCAGTATTTCAGGGGAAGGGACCCTGGTAGATCTTTTTTATATTTTTATGTTTTTCAGACATAGTGCCTAGGCTGGAACACAGTGGTGCCATCACAGCTCACTGCTTGGGCATCCACCTCTTGGGCATAAGCCATCTTCCCACCTCAGGCCCCCAAGTAGCTGGGACGACAGGCATGCACCACCACATCCAGCTGATTTTTGTATTTTTTGTAGAGACAGTGATATGGTTTGGCTCTGTGTCCCCACCCAAATCTCATCTCTAATTATAGTCTCCATAATCCCCAAGTGTCAAGGGAGGGACCTGGTGTGAGGTGATGGGGTCATGGGGGCAGATTGCCCCATGCTGTTCTCATGACAATGAGTGAGTGCTCACAGATCTGATGGTTTTGTAACTGTTTGACGGTTCCTCCTACACACACACTCTCTCTCCTGCAGCCTTTTGAAGAAGGTGCCTGCTTCCCCTTCTGCCATGATTGTAAGTTTCCTGAGGCCTCCCCAGCCATATGGAACTATGAGTCAGTTAAGTCTCTTTATAAATTACTCAGTCTTGGGTATTTCTTTATAGCAGTGTGAAAATGAACCAGTTCAGTAAATTGGTATCAGGAGTGGGACACTCACATAAAGATAACCTGAAACGATTTTGGAACTGGGTGATGGGAACAGGTTGGAACAGATTGGAGGGCTCAGAAGAAGAGAGGAAGATGTGGGAAAGTTTGGAACTTCATAGACATTTGTTGAATGGTTTTGACCAAAATACTGAGAGTGGTATGAACAATGAAGTCCAGGCTGGGGTGGTTTCAGATAGAAATGAGGACCTTGTGTTTAAAAAGGAAGTTGAGCATACAAGTTTGGAAAATTTGCATTCTGACCATGTGGCAGAAAAGAAAAACCCGTTTTCTGGGGATAAATTCAAGCTGGCTGCAAAAATTTACAGAAATAATGAGGAACCAAATGTTAGTAGCCAAGACAATGAGAAAAATGTCTCCAGGGTATGTCAGAGACCTTCATAGCAGCCCCGCCCATCACAGGCTGGGAGGTCTAGGAGGAAAAAATGGTTTCATGGCCTCAGGGCCCTGCTGTCCTGTGGAGACTTGGGACATGATGCCCTCATCCCAGTTGCTTCAGCTCCAGTTTTGGCTAAAGGGGTGAAGGCCCAGCTTGGGCCATTGCTTCAGGGGCCAGGAGCCCCAACCCTTGATATCTTCCATGGTGTTGGGCCTGAGGTTGCAGAGA